TATTGTTCTTGTGAATGAAGTTATTTTCCTGATACATTTCCCAGCTGGTTATTGCTAAGATGTTGTTGTTGTTAGGTGCCATCGAGTTGGGTACAACTCATAGCGACCCTGTGAACAACAGGTCTGAACTCTGTCCTGTCCTGTGCCAGCTTCTGACATACTTGCGCACAGTCGTTGTATCAGTCCACCTGGTTAAGGGTTTTCTTCCCCTTCACCATCCCTCCACCTGTCCAAGCACAATGTCCCTCTCAAAGAAATAGCCTCTCTTAGCAACATGCCCAAAGTGTGGGAGGTGAACTCCATCTGTGTCTCCAAGGAGCACACTGGCTTCACCTTCTCTAAGACCTCTATCTGTCTGCTCTTTTGGCAGCCCATGAATATTCAGTACTCGTCCAACACTTGGCTCAAAGACATCGATTTTGATGCCTTTCTTAGGCTGTAGGAGTATTTTACTCTTTGTGTTGATAAGTGTTCTGCATCTTTGCAGTTCTTGAAAATACTTTGCATGTTCTGTGTAGCTCTCCAGGAGGTATTATACCATGACTTTGCAGAACTTTCCTACATAATACAAAATACTTTCTTTGGACACTGCTGAGTTTAGATTGCTCCTTTGGGGAACATTGTCTCATAACCAGATCTTGCTTTCCTGGGCTTACCCACTGAGGGAACTAGAATGGATGTGAGACTATAATACAGAATTGGAAGAAGATTCAATCATTTTTGCATCTCCAGCAACTGGACCTAAGAGACACAAATGTCTGAAATAGACTACTGAAGTGCCCTAAGAATATGGTTTTCAGATTTTTTTTACCTGAAGAACCCATTAGCCAGGAAGTTCTTAATTGTAGCTGCATGTTAGAATTACTAGGAAAATGTTTGAAATACTTATACTCACACTCTCAGTTTGTCTAAGGTGAGGACAAAACACCAGTTTTAAAAAACAAAATAGAACTTGTCAGGTAATTCCATTGAATAGTCAAGCTTGAGAACCACCATTAGTTCAATATCTAAGCTATACAAGTAATGTGTCGTGTTATGTTCCACTGAGTTGGAACCAACTCATAACTGGTGCTGGAGCCGATTTTCAGAGAGTGTAAACTGCACGGGAACAGATGGCCCATCTCTTTCCCTTGGAGCAGCTAGTGGACTCCAATAGCTTTGGGTTGGCAGCTCAGTTCCTTAAGTACTAGGCCACCAGAGGTGGAGAGAGAGCCCCATTCTCATCCCTTGACCTCTAATCAGACTTCGCCAGGCACAGTTTGAAAGCCTAATCTTGTGGTCCTGCTCTTCCTGTCCAAATGCCCAGGATGGTTAGCTCACTGTCAGTGGCCACTGTCCTGCCTGGTGCTGCTGTTCCACATGCCAGGATGGAGAAACAGAAAACAGACATCTCCAATAGCAGCCAACCAAGCCACATAGAAGATAAGCCTACACTGAGCTTGAATGGCTTAGGCAGAGCCCAAGGCTGTGGGAGTTAGATGTTGGATCTCAGTGGTGCACAAGGCTTTGCCCCCACTGGGGAGGACTCACAGATATAACCAACCTCTCCCGAGGGCATGCTGAATGTCAAGGATTTGCTGAGCTGAAAGCTCTGTTGTTTGTAACCCCCATTCAGAGATGGTAGGCCTTTTTATTAAAAGCTGCTCCTTCTCGTCAGCATGAACCTCTGTCTAATATGAACCTTGCAAGGATAGCCATCAGCAAATCATTTTGTTGTATCCATCTTACTGATCATGAAACTGAGGCCCAGCAAAATTGTAACTCGCCCAAGACCACAGGAGTGTGAGCCTGGATTCAGACCCTGCTCTCCTGACTCCAGAAGCTCTGCTTTCTCCCTATTGCTCTGTTGTCTTTGAGCAGCCCTCTGTCAGGGAGAGAACTGCAGTTATTTATACTACCAATAACACACCCACCAGCCCCCTCTTATCTGGCACCATCTCCTCTGAAGGCCAGTCATCCATGCAGTTGGTTCCCAGCAGCTAAGTGTGACTGGATGCTTACTAGAACAGAGAAAGCCGCAGAGGTGGTGAATCTGACTCTGATCAGTGGTGGTGTTTCCGCCCCCCCCCCCCCCGGTGTAAATTGTGACCCACGAGTGGCTTTCGGTTCTGTTTTCTGGCTGCCTTGAGTGACTGGAGCACAGCCCTGGTTATCTAACACTTGTTACCCATCATCCTCTAGGGCCATAGAGACTGCAGCACCTGTCAGAGATGATGATAAATATCTAGGGCAAAGGTTTGGGAAAAAATCTTTGCAGTGGAATGGAATGCTCAATCAAGGTGACAAGGTATTTTCAAAGAATAAATAAAGCACTGATACCTAGCATTTTTTTGCACTTCAGTGTCCACACAGAACCTGACCCAGTGGTCACTTTACTTGGCTGTCCTTCCTCATTTGGGTCACGCTCCCTTCATCTGTGTCTGAGAGGCTCCTGCCCCCTCACTGTCCCTGCTGATTCTCCTTCTGCAGTCCCTGCTTCAGCTGAGGGACTTCTGTCCTCCTCTCAGGGTTCAGCACAGCTCTTCCTTCTCACAATATTCCATCCCAGTTATCCCTTCCCAGGCAAGCCACTGTCATCTCGGCATCGGATGGCCTGCACCTGGCTGCCCTGCCCCACTCACAATCTACCTTGGGTCAAAAAGATTCTAGAGCTGATACCAAAGGGTCCAGTGCTTGCCTGCCTGCCAAAAGGCCTGTGTGACGCCCAGCCACTCCACAGGAGAGGAGACTTGGCAGGCTGCTCCCGTAAAAAGTTCAGCCTGGAAAACCCCATGGGGCAGTTCTCTGTTCTGTAAGGTCAGTTGTATGTGCCACCAAGTCAGAACCGATCCTTAGCTGACCCTCTGGCAGGTTTTCAGAGGCAAGAAATCAAAGCGCATGAGAGATTTTTCCATCTTTCTGCAGAGCATCCAGTGCATTCAAACTACGTGCCTTTGGGAGCTGCTTACCACTAGGCCACCAGAGCTCCCTGGGGTCGCTAGGACACAGAATCAGCTTGACCACACGTAATGACAACATAGTGTCTGCTGCCCCTTCTGGAGTGAGCAGGTTCTTTGAGGGCACCCATTTGTCTTAGCACCCCTCCTAATCAAATACAGTTCTGGCTATCAAAATGATGACATCAGAATGTCGGCTGAGTTACTTCTGGTGCTGACTGACAGGTACCTGACTGGGACTGGTCGACTTTGATGCAGGCTGACTTTGTTCCAGGCAAGCTTTTTTAAAGCCATATTTTTATCAGACTCCTCTCTTTCTTCCAGGAGAACATAAATTAAAGCACTGGATTACAGACATCTTCTCCCACACACACATACTTGTAGACTTCAGGTGGGTCTGGGACAAGTGTGGCATTTGGTCACCCTCCCTGCACTGTAAATAGGAAAAAATGGCATTTCTGGAAGGCTGTAAACCTCAATCTGCTCCAACCCCTTTTCCAGCTCTGGCCCACACCCCTCTGGTGGGAAGGGTGGTGGGAGGGGTGGCCTCGTCCTCAGCTCTGGAGCCCTGCACAAACAAGTCTGTCTGAGAGGAAGTGAGTGCATCCAGGGTGCTTCTTGGAAGCGAGGATGGTGAAGCTTAGCCTCACATACTTGGACCAGTTCTTGGAAAAAGACATTCGTGCTACCTTGACAAGCTGGATTGACATGGCGACTCTAACAGTGCATATCAGGTGGGGTGGGTGGTGCAGGGGCGGGCAAGCCTCAGGTGTGTTCATAGGGTCACCATGAGTCGCAGTCAACCTGATGGTCGGTCCCTACAACAGTAACAGCATGCCTGTCCTCGCACCACCTCTGCCTGACCCCACGTGAGTAACACCACAGCGTGAAACCACTCTTTCACTACCTTAACTTTTAGACTCGAGGGGCCCATATATCTAAGATGGGTGAGAGGCTACAAACCAAAGGACATTTCCATCCCCAAGTGTTGGTTTAACTTAGCTCACTTTGCTTTTTTTGCATATGATGAAGATGAAGGCATAAAGATGGGTGTCTGTATGAAACACTGGAGCACCCCCTTTGACTGAAAGTCCCTTCTTTGTCCTCTCTCTAGGGCAGAATTGGTCAAAAGTTCCACTTTTGCCACCTGGGGCATCTGCTGTTAGTCCAGGCATATGAAGTAGTCCTTCACATGCTTGCTGTCAGTGGGTAACTGGCCAGCTAGGGCCAGGACCAGTGCCAGAGCCACAGATCCAGAGGGTCCCCTGAGGTGTAAAGAGTTCACTGTCACCAGAGATGTCTAAGCAGAGGGTGTACCAGGACCACAGTTCCTCACGAGTGTCCTGGGAGGCACGTGCAGGAAGTTGGATTAGATTCTTTCACCATCTTCTTTCATTCTAAATTCTGGGAAGTTCCAGGGATGAGCCGTAAGCCACTTCCCCCATCTTGCACCCATTGTGAAGCTGCCAGAGGCAGGAAGGAGCCCAACAGCCTCTCTCTCCTGCCCTGGTATGGCTTCCTCCTCGCTCATTCCCAGCATCCTCTGTACCCACGGTGCACACTGGGGCATCCTCTGTGTTGGTCAGCTTTCTGGGCTGTTTGGTCCTCTAAGGCAAGTCAGGAGATTTTGCAAGGGAGCCCAGCACTATTTAGAGACTTTACTCACCTTGTGCTCACTGGGCCCAGCATCCATAAGGTGGTGGTTGACAAAGGTTCATGAATGAGCAAGTTAGTGATCCCAGATACAGAGGGGCCAATAGAGGACAGTAAACATGTGGATTCTCCAGTTAAGGCAGGGCCAAAGGAGAAGAACCCGTGTGAACCTCCCACTGTCCCCCCTCCAAAGTGAGCATTTGGACACTAGTGTGGAGTAAAGAAAGAAGGGCCAAAGAGGAAAACAAGGCACTCCTTTATTCCCCATGAAAGAGATCCCACCAAGCACAGCCAGCATCGTCTCCAGGGCATCAGGCTCAGTTCTGGGGCCGCAGCGAGGCCGAGGCAGCAGTGGGCCCCTGCCGACTCCATCCCAGGGGAGGTCCGTCCACATACAGCTCCTGCCCTTCCTCAGAGCTTTTCCAGGTAGGAACCAGGGACGAAGCCACGCTGCCCATTCCGCTCCACTGTCCACCAGCCATCCTCCCCTGCCACGATGACCTCCATGATGTCCCCTGTGGAGATGTCCAGCTCATCGGGATTCTGTGTAAGAGAGAGCACAGGCTGGAGAGGCTGCTGGGAGGACTCTGGGCTGGGGCAGTCCCTGGGAATGTGGGGCCACTTGTGGAATTTGCTGTCCCCACTGCTGTTTGTCACTGTAGATACCCGCCTCCAAATGAGCTGTACTTCCCTGCAGCTGCCTTCTTTCATACTCTGAGTCAGGCACAGAAGTGTGAGGTGTGGGCACCATGCCCTGTGACAGCCATGGGCATGCTCTCACCCCAAGACTCACCACCCACACAGCCCCTCACTGGTGCCCCCCATATCCTCCTGAGTAGCCTTTCCCAGAGCGTTCTTTCCCCAGCTCTTCATACAAGCACACTCCTTTCATTCCTGCCTTGTCTCCCCAGCTGGAGACTGGATTTTACTGAGATGCACCCCTCCCCTCAGCAGGTAGCAGCAGATAGGATTCTTTGGGGCTCTGTGCCCTGGGATGGCCTTAACCCAGCCTCTCCTTGTAAACTTCAGATCAAGACCTAGTGAAGATCTAGTTTGGCCGTGGCCACAGAGAACAAGGTCCTGACCCTTAGGTGGCCCCAGGCTCTGCCAGCCTCCCTGCACGAGGGCATGTCCTCACGTGCACGAATGCAGACACCACGCCATGTCTGCACCACATAGTCACATGTGCCCCAGGTGCACATGCACACAGACCCAAGCAGATGAAGCACTTGTTTTGTCAGCACTCACAGAACCCCCTAAGTTCTGAGCACTCCAGCCCCTTCCCGGTGCGTATGCTTATGTGCGCGTGGACCCCTAGCCACACGTGCAGACACCCACCTCCAGGAAAATGCAAACCCCTCTCCCACGGTGGCCCGTCACTTCTGACTCCTGTGTATGCCATTGTCCAGGAGGACCCACCTGGGTCACATGAGGGGCTCACCTGTGCTTTATAGTCATAGAGTGCCCTGTAGTCGTTGGTGGGGGAGCCTGTCGTGTTCGTCATGGCAATGGAAGCATAGACATCCTCATTCTGCCCAGGAGTGTGGCTCAGCGTCTCTGTCGAGGCTAAGAGCAAGATGAAATCTAGATCCTGTCCCTTCCCAAGGACTGTGCCACCCAGAATCCCCTCTTCATAGCTTTCTGGGGTTCAGTGCTCTCCCCATCCTTCTCCAGTTAGCTGTTGAAGGATATATTCTCCCTTTGGGGTCTCAATGGCCCCATCTGTGCCATGTAGGAGTCATCTTCTCCCCCTTACGGCCACATTTGTTGGCCCCACATCACCCCAAGTTACCAGCAAGAGCTGCATTCGATGTCTTGGAATTTCCATGCAGCAGCCCGGAGAACCTGGGGTGGGGAGGAAAGAGGGTGGGTGCTGGAAGGGATGGAGGACAGGCAGGGAGCCCCCAAGAGCCTCTAACGGTCTTAGGCCCAGAGGTCAAGCACCAAGACAACTTACAGGTGCCCCTCAGCATGAAAGCTCCCCAGAGGGTGCCTCCCCCAGCTGCACCCTGCACACCCTTTGCTTGTTCTCAGGACCTGCTTCCTGCAGGACCTCGAGGCTCGCTCTAGAGGTTCTAGGCGCTCTGCTGCAGCCTGGGGCTGGTGCCCACCAGACAGGCTCCTAATGATGTCCCCATAAGCAAATGAACTGCCCTTCTGATTTGGGCCAATGCCCACACAATAGGGCCTTCACTGGCACAGTTTTCCTTCTCTAAGTCCCACAGTGTCTTAGCCAGCTTGGCACCTCCTGACAGTGCCAAAGGCGGTTCTCAGTGGACTCGAACTCAAGAGTTTCTGGGGGCAACACGGGCAGAATCACCCCTGCCCTGGCAGCTGGCATGGCCCCAGCCGAGGTCATGAAGTTTTGCTGAATAAAAGGACCAAAAAACCATGATTCAGATGCTGGGGCTCCTCATGGGGAAGGGGGCAGGGACGCCCCACAAAATGGATTGTAATGACTAAATAAGGAGAACCTATGGGACCCTACTTTCCTGTCTCAGGGTAGGCTTCCTGGAGGAGGTGGGCCTGCCAAGTCTTCAAAGGTGAATGAAGTTAAGAGGCAGGGCTGGATGTTCATGTTGTGAACAAGGGGGGCACAGAGAAGCAGAGAGGGACTGAGCCAGTGGGGTTTGGAGAGTGGAGGGTGTGGGCGACATGCTGGAATGCAGGTTGGTCAGAGGTCCTGAGTGCCCAGGTTGGGGGCTGGGCCATGACTTGAGCCTGTAATGGTCCCTGAAATGGTTCCTTAGTGAGGGGAGGTCCCTCCCCTCACTATGAAGACACTTTCGCCTTGGCCCCTGGCCCGGGCTAGGGTAGCTAGTCAGAAGAACCCATGAAATCTGGGTCCCCAAGTAGGGGAGCAGGCAGGATGAGCACCCTCAGCCCAGCTCCTACTCTACGTGACACTCTGCTCCTGTCCTCAGGGACTTAGAAGGTCGGAGTGGCAGGTGCAGGGCTTGGAGGAGGGAAAGGAGAAGCGAGGCTGCCAGCAAGTCTGGACCAGACAGAGAGCACATGGACTGGCTTCTCCCTTGAGCAGGAGTGGGCAGCCCTGTGGATGCTGTGTTTTACCCACTAAAGCAGCTAGACCTCGACAGGCCTTAGCAGTGGCCCTACAGTGAAGGCTGGGCCCTCCCAGCGGGTTTGTAAGAGGACATGTGTGCCCAGGACGGAAGCACATGGCTGACAGTCATGGGGCCCCTGTGGGAAGGGCTGATGCTGACACAGGCTCATGCGGGTGGCAGTAAAGCCAGGTAAGCTTCGGATGGAGAAGCCGAGCAGCCGGTGCTGAGGGTGGGGAGTGGGCCAGTCTCCGAGTGTGCTGAGACAATCATGCCACCTCCCCCACAGTCCAGACCCTCACCGACCTCCCACCTGCTCTGTTCCCTCAAGTGGTCATCACTTCTGATGCCAGCTCCTCTCCTCTCCTGACCTCTCAGCTGTGGCCCCTGCCCCAGCTCCTCAAACCTGCTTGGCCCGGATGCCTATCTGATACCGCTGGCCATCCCCCTGCTATGGCTGTGCCCACTATAGCCTTCATCCACCATCTCATCCTCACAAGACACCCTCTCTGTCCTTACCTGATGATGCCCTAGGTCAGTTCTCTCATCTGATTGCTTAAGTGACCGCCCGCCACCCCAGATCCCGGCCCTCACTGGGGTGCAGAGAGGCCAGCGTCCCAGAGTTTTAAAACATTGGGAGGATGTGGATGTGCCTGTTGGGACCACCACATTCGTGGGATTCTCAAAGGAGTGTGCTGTGTGCCCTGCCCTGAGCATGGATGGTTCCCCGTGAGCCTCTGCTTCCTGCCAGGCTTCTTTCAGGAGGGCTTAGGGGAGATCCATGGTCCCCTTCTCTCTGTCTCACCTCCCACACAGGGACCCCATGAGACTGCAGCTTCTTCATTGTGGAGGTTGGTTGGAGAGAGGATGTCAGGGAGGCTTCTCGAGGGTTGGGACACAGGCACCACATGATATAAAGCACACATGTGCTTAGCGATGCCCAGACGCGGCACCTGGCGTCCTGAGACCTGGCTGCTGGGAGGCTCCTCCTGGGCAGGCTGTGATGCTGGCACCACCATCACCCAGGCCTAAGCCAGCAGAGTTCTTAGGTCCCCAGTCTGAACCCCGGGACGGAGAGAGGGCATGAAGCACGTCCAAGCAGCAGATGGAGGTGTGGCCCTAGGACTCAGCTGACCACAGGCAGCCCAGGGCAGGGGTAGCCTGGAGAATCCTAAGGCTCCTGCTCCCATGCCCCGATCGTGCCAGTGGGAGGATACACCCCCTCAACTTGATGGTCCAGGGCACCTAGAACTAGGAGTGGGGCCCAAGGGACAAAGAACTGTCCCCAGAACACTGAGCACACACACCAATTATCTCTCATTGAAGTCAAGTCAGAACCAGCTCATAGCTGATCCTCCTGTGTTTCAGAGGCTGTAAATCTCACCAGGACAACTGCTCATCTTCCTCTCAGAGAAGAGCTGGTGGACTTGAAACACACACACACACAGCATCACAGCTCCACCCAGAACTCACTATGCTCTGAGTACAGATAGCTGAGGTGTGATTATTTAATGTCTGCGTCACCTCACCCAGAGGGCTCCATGAGACTGGCTTGAGCCTGTCTTCTGCCAAAGGGCTGCACCAGGCACATGTGGGTGCTCAGGACGTATGTGTGGCGTGAGTTAGTTGCATGTGGACGAGCAGAACCCACTTGCCAGCCCTCTCTTCTGTGGCCCAGCAGGTGCCAGCCATCCCTCACCTCTTCATCATGCCGCAGGACGATGGTGCTCCGGGGCTGCCGGATGGGGTGGCCTCTCGATCATAGTAGCTCATGTAGGACACTGGGGCTGCAGACAGCAAGGCTATGAGGCTGTGCCACTGAGGACACATGGGCAACACTCTGGGCCGCTCAACATGCCCAGCTGTCCTCACCAGAGACCTCAAGCTAGGGCTCCACTCTCCCATTCCAGCCTGAGCCCATAATGGCACCTGGGGCCAGGAGAGGCTTCCCCCATCCCATGAGAGACTCAACGAGGCCAAATTGTCTGTCTCAAGACAGAGGAGAAAGCTTGGCATGGAGGACAAAGAAAAGCCATCTTCCCAGTAGAGGAGCCGATGGCCCAGGGGATCCTTACTGAGCTCCCACCCTTGGGGCGATGGGGAAAGAGGCAGAACACCTGGGGTCTGACTTAGTGGGAGCCACTAATGGGGGGGGTAGATTGCAGGCTGAGGTGGGGACTCTGAGGAGGTCCCTAACCCCTAACCCTCTCCTCTCCTCCCCATTTCTGAATCTCATATAACTCTTCATGCAGTTCTGCTTGTCCACTACCTCTGGGAGGTTGCAGGTGAGGGACCCCCGCCACGGGACTGCCCTGTCCCTCACTCCCAGCCCCTGTTTGGCCAAGGAGCTCATCCAGAGGGCCTGAGCAGGAGGCCAGCCTACACACAGCTCACCTGGGGGTTCGGTGCCTGTGCTCTTGGCCTGGATGAAGCCATTGATGTCAGCGTCCACACTGCAGCCCTCCAGCACCAGCCGCACCTCCTCGTAGAGCTGGGGGAGAAGAGGAGGGAGGAGCTCACCCCAATGTCTCCTCTGGGACAAGAACTCCACCCGTGAGCCCTCATATCACTAGCCTCCTCCAAGCCTGATGCACAGCACAGCACCTGTGTTCAGGGAGGGACTTGGGCACGTAATTTGTGAGCCGTCACCACCTGCCTGAATGGCAGGATGCCGGTAGCTAAGCCTCTCCTGTCCCTGAACACTTGTTGTGATCAGGGCCCTGTGCAAGGGACTTAACATGGCTGGTCTCTAAGGTGGACATCATTTACCCCATTACACAGGTGGGGAAACTCAGCAAAAGAAGGGTCAAGTCCATGGGGAAGAATGCAGTGCAGCAGGGGTTCCAGTTACAGGGATCCAGAGCCCCCACTGCTTCTGTTGTGCCCTCTGAGGGCCACCATGGGAGCTGTGGCTGCAATTAGCACCAGGCCCGGGACAGAGAGTCCTTCAGCTGTCCACATGCCTCTGAGGGCTGGGTCCACTTACCCTCTGCCCCTCCCTGACAGACATTCAGGGGCTCTGTGACCCTCAAGACAGAGGAGAAAGCTTGGCATGGAGGACAAAGAAAAGCCATCTTCCCAGCAGAGGAGCCGATGGCCCAGGGGATCCTTACTGAGCTCCCACCCTTGGGGCGATGGGAAAAGAGGCAGAACACCTGGGGTTTGACAGCCAGGACCACCGAGGACGAGGTGCTTGCTGACCAGCTCAGCAGGCCTGACCGACACTGCCCTCTCCCCACCTGGCCCACCGGCCCCCACCTCATCGTCCTTGACGCACTGCATGGAGAGCTGGTTGCAGTGCACCCACAGAGAGTTACGCAGGATGGTCAGCCGGTCAAACTCCTGCAGCTGGAAGGCCTGAGTGGGGTGGGGAAGATGAGCAATGAGATGGACACCGGCCCCCTCTACTGAAAGCCTAATCTGAAGGCTCTCCCTGTGGGCCCCCCTCCCTGAGGGCCCCTCCCTGTGGGCCTCCCTCCCTGTGGGCCCCATTCCTAACTCCTTACCAACACCTGGGGTATCTGGGAAGGGAGGCTGAGCTGGTCATGGGATTCCTACCTCCACACTCCCTCCAGACCCCATTACACATTGGAAAAGGTCATGGGGTGGGGAGAGTGAGAAGAATGTGGGACCAGAGTCCTGAGGTCTGTCTCCCAGGCCCTGACATCAGCAGGGGCCCAGGAAAGCTGTGGGTTTTATCTGAGCCCCCATCTTAGTAAAATTGGATCTAGACTTTCAAATTTGGGACAAAAAATACCTAGGGCACAAAGCCAGATGACAGAGTTAGCATCTTGGGGGCAGGGACCCAGCACAGGGCCTGGTAAGTAAGCGGGTGCATGCGTGAATGAATGAATGAATGATGCCTTTACCCACCCTGCCTTATGTGTTCCCTGTGAAACCGCTAGAACAGGGGTGGGCTTGTTCCCGTTATGCCCTAGGGAAGCTGAGGCTCCACACTGAGGTCACGCACCTCGCAGGTGGTTCGGTGCTCCTGCTCCCACTCGGCCCGCACCTTCTCCAACTGCTCCACGTTCTGCCTGTACACGCGATCTGGAACATGGCAGCCCTCAGGACGGCCGAGGGGCTGAGATGCCCCACAGCCCTAAACATGAGCTCCCCTGCACATCTGAACACTGCCTCCATTCTTAGAGCCCCCCTCCCCGTGCTTCATCTGCATGATGGGGCTGCTCCCTATTCTGTTCTTTTCAGGGTGTCTCAGCCACACAAGTCTGCTCAGATGTGCTGAGGCCTAGAGGGGAGACATATGAGACACAAGGCTGGAGTAAATTCTCTCCCCATCCCTGGGTCCCACCTCTTCTCTTTCCAAATGGGACAGTGAGGTCAGAGAGGACAGCAGTACACTGGAGAGGGCCAGTGGGAGCACAGGGAGACTTGGGTCATGACCCCCACCCTCAGATCTCTAGGGGACACCTGCTCCCAGCCAGCGGAATAGCCAGGTCATGGGAGAGGCAGTGCAGAAAGGAGAGCCTTCTGGGGAAGAGGAGGAGGAGTCTCTGTCACAGGAGGTGTGCGAGCCGTGACAAGGGGCACTAGGAGGCAGAGGGGATCCTGGTATCAGGTGAAAGACTGAGGAGACAAAGGGCCTGAGAAGGCTGTAAGTGTGTGTGTGAGACAGAGAGAGAGAAAAGTGTGTGTGTGTGTGTGTGTGTGTGTGTGTGACGGAGAGAGACAGACAGGAGTCTACATCCCATCTACATTGATGTATCCCAAATCCTGAGCTCTGGGGTAAGACATCCTACGTTCAAATGCAGTTATCACCACTAACTGGATGTGTGATGTTGGGCAAGTCATTAAATCTCTCTGTTCCTGGTTTCTCATCTGATAATAAAAACTGTTCCACCGGAGAAAGATGGTCAGTCTCCTCTCATGAGATTTGCTGCCTCTGAAAACCTGCTGTAGGGTCAGCTATGGGTAGGTTCTGACTCAACAGCACATAACAACAACAATCTTATAGGATCATTGCAACAGTTAGTTAGAACATGTAAAGCACCGGGCGACAATGAATGATTTTTTTAAGAGAAATGAGAAGGGGGGGGAGAGGGGAGAGAGGAAAATGTGCAACAATGAATGAATGGAAATACAAATTTTTTTTAAACAACCTTTGTTAAAGTCACAAGAAAGAAATATATATATATATATATATAACTAAAACAAAACATATAAAGCACCAAGAACAGTTTCAGCAAAGGAGAGAAAGGTTTGATGGCAGAAATACAAAAATCAGTGTAAGAACTAGGAAGTGCTTGAAGGCGGGCGGGGCCCACATACCTGCCTCCGTGGCTGAGTCCTTGCACTGCTTGGCTTTGTTTTGGCTCTGAGACAGAGAAGCAGCACTAAGCACCGGGCAGGAGCCAGGGCCACCCAAAACCACCCTGGAGTCCTGGGGCTCTGAGCTTGTGAAGTGACCATCATTCCCTCCTCCACCTCCCAGGGGACACTCAGGAGCAGACTGTGGGTATGTTGTCATGTGTCTTCAAGTCAAGTACGACTCACAGTGACCCTGTGAAGAGCAGATCTGAACCCTGTCCTGTCTTGTGCCACCCTCATCAGCTATGACACACTAGAGTCCATTGCTGCAGTCACTGTGTCAATTCATCTCACTGAGGGTCCTCCAAGCATGATGTCCCTTTCCAAAGAATAATCCCTCTTAACAACATTGTTGTTGTTGTTATGTGCCGTCGAGTCGCTTGCTACTCATAGCGACCCTATGTACAACAGCCCTAAACCCTGCTCTGTCCTGTGCCAATCTCACTGCCTCTGACACATCCATCCCGATTACCCCAGTCACTGAATCAATCCACCTCATAGAGGGTCTTCCCCTCCTGCGCTGTCCCTCCACTCTGCCCAGCATGATGTCCCTCTCCAAAGACCTGTTGTCTCTCCTTAACAACATAGCCAACATTTACTGCCACCCTTACCCCACTCAGTATCCCAGGCTGATTAGAAAAAGAAACCAAACAAACAAAAAAAAAACAAATTTAAAGGAATATCAGAAACTTCCAGCCCATGAAGACACAGATGAAAACTAGAGGGAGGAGGGCAGATCAGGGCCCAAGTCTGGTGGCCTCATTGACCACTGCTGAATTCACTGGTCAGGACTCAGGCCCTGACCTTCTGATTTGAGTATCTCAATTTACCCTCTGGGGCCTGCCACCTCTAGGCCTCAGCTTACCTCTCTACACAATGGGTGAGATATGTTGTTGAGCGCTGGTGGCTCTGACGTTCCCACCCAACCTGGGCCAAGGGACACTGTTCCTAAGGTAGCTCAGAGGGCAGAGCCATCAAGGGCTTGGGCTCTGAACAGGCCTGGATTTGAATCTTTTCTCTTTTGCATCCTGGCTCTAAGATCTTGGTCAGTGGGCCAGCTATCTGGGGATCTCAGTTTCCTCTCTACAAGAGTCTCTGGAGTGTGGTGTCCAGTGAGATGGCAGGTGGGTTGGGGGAGTGGGCTGGGTTGTTGCAGCTGCTACTTCTGTCCTGTGACCTTTGGTCTGGGCCGCAGAAGGTCCGCTCCAAGGACTGGGGCCCGAGGTGCAGCTTAGAGAGGGCAAAGCGGTCATGTTGGCCCCATCCACCCAGGCCTGAGATTCTTGATACCCCATTCCACAGATGAGGAGACTGAGGTCCGGAAAGGGTGTGTAGAGTGAGGAGCCCGGGGGCCCAGCATCATTGTTTGCCCGGAAGCATCTGCAACACCTGTCCTGCATGTACCCTGGCTGACACTCGGTCCTAGTGACCCCACATACCTTCTCCACCTGCTTCTGGTTGCCATTGGCACTGATGCGCTCAAAGGCCTGTTCGGCGTCATCCGCATCCCGGCACTTCTGTTCATACGTCTTCTTAGACTAGGAGTGTAGAGGGAAAGATTTAGGGGGCTGCACAGAACCTCAGTGGGGGTTTCTCAGCTCAGCCTACTTTCTGCCTTTTGGGGTTCTGGGGGTAGAGTGAGGATACCCTTGCCAGGGGTGGGGATCTGGAATAGTGTGGAGAAGGGGTAGAGCTATTGGCAAAGTCTAACACCCAGGCCACCTGCCACCGGGGACAGTTCAGCTCTTCCCAGGGTCCTGACCACTTTATGATCGTGGTCTTAACAAACTGACAGCCGGCCCCTGAACATTACATACATCCACAGTCCCTGCCATCAGCCTTGCTGTCAAGTCTATTTCTCCTCATAGAACTGCCCCATTGGGTCTGTGTCTTTTTCCTGTGGAGCCGCTGGTGAGTTTGAACCGCTAACCTTTTGGTTAACACGCCCACATTTAACTCACTACATTCTCAAGGCATCAGTCCCTCTGACAAAATACTGTTTTCCCTTATTGCCGAGCATCTGATAGAGTGCTGCTGACAGGTCCCCCCTCCCTTGATCCACAGAGTTCTCAGATGACAACATGTGTCACAGGGACCACTGTCCGAGACAAGCTGCCCGTTAGTCCCCTACAGGCAAGGCCTGGCTGATCCACTCGGGACCTTGGTGCTGGTTCAGCTCCAAACACTCAATTGATATAGTCACACCGAACCCCGAGGTAAACCCATCCCAGATCCCAGACCAAGACCCCGGACCACACCCAGAACATTGCCGCTCCCGCCTTCACACTCACGTCCATTGTCTTCTTGTACAGGGACAGCTTGCTCTTCTGGACACGGTCCATGATGGCCTCGTACTGCAGGGGACAGGAGGCTCTGAGCAGGGGGCTGCAGCCTCAGGATGCTCCCCTAGGCCAAGAGGACGGGTGTCCCTGGGATGAGGCACAGCAGCCCCCCAGCTCTGAGTGACAAGTCCCCTCCTTCCTCAGAACAGAGCTGAAGAGAAACCGAGGGGAGCCCATCACGCCCTCTTTGCTGCAGAATCACACACGTACACAGATACACACAACACGCATCCTTCTTTACCAGCACCTGTCCACAAACAGATGTACACACACGCTGACCCAGATGAGCATGCAATGTCCCGGTGACACACACTCACAAGTGCATACTAACAGCCCCCCACTCCCAGCTGCCCACACATACACACGTGTGCACACAGGGGTACACCAGGCTGTTGCACCCTCACACTTTGCCTCCCAGACTTCTTATTCCCAGAGACAAGATGAATTGCTGCCTAGAGACAGCCTGGGTGATGAGATATGAGGAGGACTGGGAGTGAAATGCCCCTCGAATTGGGGACAGAGCCAGTGTGTGCCCGTTGGGGGGACTCCAGCAAGCCACCTTGTCACAGAGGCACATCCATGCACAGCTCCAGACCAGGACATGTGCTCACAGATGTGCCCATGCTCTCTGCACGCACATGTGCACACACGTCCCACCCACACAGGCCCAGCACACACATGGCAGCTCCTGCCTGCAGGGCCCCAGCCACTCAACAGCCTGTGGGAATCATGGCTCTTCTCGCCACAGGAGGGCTCAAAATAGTAGGTCAGTCACGGCAGGTGCTCTGTGGGTGAGTCTCACCTCAGAGGGTCGCCTGCTCCAGCGGGGGTGCTGGCTTTGGGGACTTACTGTCTGCTCTGGAATCCAAATTTAGAAGCCTGAAAGCCTGAGGCCGAGACTGGCATGACATACAGGGTGCAATCACACTGGAGTTCTGTGACCGGAGCCACGAATGGGAGCCAGTGCCTGGCCTGTCAGCACTCCAGGGGCCTGGTTCTGCCCTGAGCTCGCAAAGCTCAAAAAGTGGGCATATGTACTCCTTTCTGTAAAAGGGAAACTGAGGCACAGAGGAACTGTGGCCTTGGTCAGGATTCCCAAGCTTAGTCCATCAACCCCTGTACTATGGTCTGTCAGAGGGCCCCAGAAAGAAGTGATGAGTGGCCTCAAAGCTGGGAGCCTGGTGAAAGGCAACCGTTCCCTCCAGCAACCCCTCACCTTCTTCCTCTGCTCCTTCTGCCTCTCACGGAACTCCTCCAGGCTCCGCAGCTCCTCCCGCAGGGCCACGGCCAACTGGATATGGGAGCTGCCAACATTCTCAATTTCTGGTGCAGAACAGAGAGGTTTAAGAGATGATGGACTGTGGCCACCTGCACGCTCCCTCCTGTCTGGACCTACCTGGCCCCTGCACCCCGTCTTCTGTCCCTCCCAAATTCTCCTGGCTCAGTGGTCTAAGGAGGTCCTGCCCCCTGCAGTCTGGGGGGCAGACTTACGCTGTTTCAGGGAGTCGAAGGAGGCCCTCAGGGAGCTGCAAGACAGAAAGGCTGGGTCAGGGCGCAGAAGGCACAGCATGAACCTGAGTCCTGGCGGCAGGAACTGATTTGAGGAGAGGGCCCTGGGGACTCACACATTATCCAGATCAAAGTTTGCCCTAGCCAGACAGGGATTGGCCAAATGGCTCCAGGGGGCATCTCTGGAAGACAAATCCCTCTCACTGAGAATTAGAAAACAAACACAGCATCTGCTAGGGGTGATGAGGGAATTGTAAAAGCCCCCACTTCCTGCCTGTGTTCCTGGGGAAGGTGAGACCTTCATCCTCTTTACATCCCCTCCCTGTCTCTCCAGCTGTTCAGGTTCTGAGGGCCCTCAGGCTGGACTTAGGGCAGGGGGGGAGTCCTCAGGCCACTTGCAGGAAGTTTGGGAGGTCTTTGAGAGAAGGGAAGGCAGAGAGGGGTTCCCAGAGAGGCCTGTGAGGGTTAATGGATAGGGTGGACAGACAAGATGACAGGTGAGGATGGTGAGAGATTCCTCCCACCTCATCACGGGGTTGCTGAGTGGGGCACCAGAAATCGAGTGGATTTGAGGGGGTCAATGGGAGAAGTGAAGTGTTTACTTTAGGGTACAATGATCTGGGATTCAGGTGAGCCAGATGTGGGCCCAGACAGCTACCAAGAGGGTGTCAGAGAGAGCACTGCAGAGCGGGGCTGGGGGTGGGGGTGGGGTAGGGGTGAGAGTGGTACCAGGCCCAGGAGGAGGAGGAGGAGGAGGAGGAGAGTATTCCCTCATTGGACATCTGGAACAGGCATTTTAAAAGTGTCTGTTGTTTTTCTGAAACTTGAAGTTAACAAAGCATTCTGCATTTGAGCTGGTAACTCTGATGCAGAAGCTCGATGGACAGTGGAAGCAGTGATGTGGCTGATGGGGTTTGGGGTGCCCCAGGGCAGAAGGGCCCAGACAGAACAGCCTGCACAAACCTGCACCTCTCCCAGCCCCTTGGCTCTCTGGGTCAGGGATCTCATAGAGGGCTGGGCACCCCCTCCTGGGGAAAGGAGAGGGTGTGGAAGTCCAACCTAGGAAACCAGCAGGACTCAGGCATGAGGCTTCTTCTTACTCTAGATCCCAATAGGTATTAGAAACAAGTCCTGGAGCCCAACAGCCAGACAGTGTGTTCAATCCAGGCTTGGCCTCCTACTTGCTGTGTGATCTCAGACAATTTACTTAACCTCTATGTTTTCATTTTCCCTTCTCTGAAATAGGGAGAATAGTAGCACAAACAAGATAGTTTAAATGTGTGGAATAAGTGTATTTCTATGTATAAATAACCTATCAGGACCTTTAAATAATTCTATCAGGACCTTTGTACACCTTTCCTGATTTTGAACCATGTAGTGTTTCCTTGCTCTGTTCTGATGACTGTCTCTTGGTCCAAGCATAGGTTTCACATAAGCACAGTCAAGTGTTTTGGGATTACCATTCTTTTCAGTGTTACCCACAGTTTGTTGTGATCCACACAAATGCCTTTTCCTAGTTTAGGAAACACAGATAGACATTTGTCTGGTACTCTCTGCTTTCAGCTAAGGTTCCTCTAACATTGGCTATTATAATGTCTCTAGTGCCACAATCCCTTCTAAACCCAGCCTACACTTCTAGCAGTTCTGTTGATATGCTGTTCCAGTCATTTGTGGATAGTTTTCAGCAGAATCTTGCTTGCATATAATATTAATGATATTGTTTGGTAATTCCCACACTCTGTTGAATCACCTTTCTTTGGAATGGGAACAAATATTGATCTCTTCCAGTCAGTTGGCCAGGTCGTTGTCCTTCAGAGTTCCTGGCACAACTGGGTGAGTACATCCAGGGCAGCGTCTGTTTGTTGAAATGTGTCAATTGGTATGCCTTCAATTTCTGGGCTTTTGTTCTTTGTCAGTTCCTTCAGATTAACTTGAGCTTCCTCCTTTATCACCACAAGCTCTTGCTCACACATTGTTTCATTACATTTTTCTGTATCAACCATTTCTTTTTGGTACAGTAACTCCTTCACCTTCTTTTAATGCTTCTTGTGTCATTTGATACTCTGCCCAAAGCATCTTAGTATTGCAGCTCGAGTTTTAATTTGTTCTTCAGTTTCTTCAGCTTAAGATATGGAGAGCAAGTTCAGCCCTTTTGATTTTCTGACTCCAGCTCTTCGCACATTTCAAAATACTCTGTCTTCCCTTGCTGCCCTTTGAAATTTTCTGTTCAGCTCCTTAACTTTTAGATTTCTTCCCTTTGCTTTGGCTTCTCGGCGCTCTGCTGGCAATATTCAGAGTCTCTTCTCACATCCATCATGGTCTTTTCTTCTTCCTCTGTCTTTGTAATGCCTTTTTGCATTCTTTCTGGATGATATTCTTGATACCCTCCTACATCTCATCTGGCCTTCACTCATTAGCGTTCAAGGCCTCAAATGTGTTCTTGAGAGGGTTTTGAAATTCATGTGGGATAAATGCAAAGTCAAGTTTTGGTTCTTGTGGATTTGATTTAACCTTCTTTAGCTTTAGTTTGAACTTGCATATGAGTAGTTGATGGGCTGTTCCACGGTCAGCACCTGACCTTGTTTTCACAGCTGATACTAAGCTTCTCCAGTGATTATTTCCACAGATGGAATCTATCTGATTCCTGTGCATACTATCAGGTGAAATCCATGTACACAGTCTGTGTTTATGTTTCTTATAAAAGCTTGACCCAGGTCATGGTCTTCACAATTGATATGTAGCAAAGAGCTGGATAATGACTAAGGATGATAGAAGAAAAATCAATGCCTTTGAGTTGTGGTACTGGAGAAGAGTATTGACTATACCATGGACTGCTAGTAGAACAAACAGGTTCATTCTGGAGAGGGTGAAACGAGGCTGCTCCTTGGAGGCAAGGATTTTGAAGCTCCATCAGACGTACTTTGGGCATATTGCAAGGAAGGACCGTCATGCTTGGAAGGGTGGAGAGACAGCACAAGACAGGAAGACCCTGGATGAGATGTATTGACTCAGTGACTAGGGTATTGGGGTAGGTGTGCCAAAGATAATGAGATTGGCTCAAGATAAAGCAGAGTCCAGAGCTGTTGTACATAGGGTCACTATGAGTCACAAGCAACTCTATGGCACTTAACAACAACAACAAACAACATCAAGACCTTCAAAAAGTACTTAACAATGTCAGGGACAATTGTGGCTTCTTCACACCCTGACAAGTCCTGGAAGGTCCCACAGTCCCCTACAAAGTGACTTGAGTGGTCCTCCTAGTATTTCCCCTAAGAATTTGCCAAATGTTCCCTTCTTATCAGAACACCCTAGTTGGATGAGACCTCAGATGCAAGGACCCCGCCTCACCCTGTGTGGGTAAAGAGCAGTCTCACTTGGGAGCAAGTGTGTGATGGATACCCATGCCTGCAGCTGCTCCTGCATGGTCTCATGGGCCCCGAGTCTCCACAAAGAAATAGATGCGTGACACATGCCAATTGGCCCTGACTGTCAGAGGTAAAATCCCCCACTTGTATATCCCCTTAACCTCAGAGGTAAATTATTCTCTGGCTCCTTCCTTACCCGGATGTCTGAGGTGTCACACTCTTTCAAGATAGTCATTTAAGGGGAACTGAGACCAGAGCAAGGCCAGGCTTGCTGAGGGTCACATATAAGCAAGGTCTTTGTTACCAGTGCTGTGATTCTGGGCTCTGCAGGGTTCTTGCCTCTTTCTGTGGAGTAGCTTGGCTGCCCCCTGGCGTCCACATGGCTTCATGACACCCTTCCAGGCAGCCCTCTAGCGACCATCTATCTCTCCTAAGCCATCTGCACAGGGAGGGCCTTCCTCTCTGGGTTCCTGAGGAAAATGAGATCCAAGAAGGAGCAAGCCACCTGACAGGACACACAGAGATCAAGGCCTGGGAGAAAACCATGAGGGCATACTTGACACCAGATGCCTTTACTTAAACAAGTGGCTGTCAAAAAGTGAGCACAGGGCAGCAGCATCAACATTGCTTGTGAGCTTGTTGAGAAGGCAGCTTCTCAAGCCTCATACCCGTCCTCCTGAAGCCAGAACCCTAGACATTGCATGAAATTTTTTTGTTGAATTCTAAAAAAATTTGTTTTTATACATTCATTTTGTATATTTTAACACATCTCCAAGGGCTACCAATGCCATGGCCCAGGTTATTTAATCCCTACAACTCTGCAAGGAGTAGGGTACACCTTTGTTATTCCCATTTTACAGGTGAGATATACTAAGGACAGAGAGGTAAAGAAAGAGTCACATGGCCACATAGCTGGTAAGAGATGGTGGAAGGTGAGACCAGGGAAGGCCAGCCCTCTGCTTCCTGCCACAGGTGGGGGAGGGTGGCAGCCACGGTGACCCCACCTTCCCTTGGAGGACAGTTGCTCAGGACTCATCTCTGACAGAATTTACTTCTCAGCAGCAAGAACAGTTGGCTCTGAGCACCTTGAATTGCATGGCTCCAATAATATATGGATTTCTCCCCACTTCCTGTTGCTATTGCAGTGAAGACATCAGGATACCACAGCGGTTAAAAGCATTCCATTGCTAATCAGAGGGTCAGTGGTTCAAACCCACCAAGTTCTGAGGGAGAAAGATTTGCTCCTAGAAAGATCTACAGCCTCAGCCCCCTGTGGAGCAGTTCTCTGTCCTCCAGGGTTTCTGTAACTGGGAAGTGACTCCATGGCAGTAGATTCAGGTGTTTTGGGTTTGTTTCAGTGAACTCAAATGTTGTACCTGCTTAAAACTCTGTGATGCTAATAATCTCTGTGTGAGAACTTTGTTTCTCCAAGAAATTTTGTATTGCAATAAAAAGTGATTATATGGATTCCAACTTGGCCGTTCTTCCTGAGTTGTTGAAGGGTCAGCTGTCCACCAATCCCTTCCCTTCCTGGAACATTCAGTCTCCAAGCCCTTCGAGGCTCACGGAGGCCCTCCCTCATCCTAATCCACTCTCACTGACACCCTGGCTTCCATATCCCTCACTCATCTTCATAGCCACTTCTGCCC